TTCGCAAATAAATACGGATTTTTTAGGCATTTTGATCTGTCATTTATTTTTTTCGTGAACTTATAAGGAAACGCGCTTGAATTAAAGCACATCATTTCGAACAAGAAATCGTAATTTGTATTACACAATAAGCAACCAAAAAGTAAAAGGATGCATTTCTAATAAGTAAATTAACACACAGAGATATAAAGGTATTACAACAAAATAAAATAATAGACAAAGCAACAGTGTAACACACACACAGTAGAAAACAAAGAGAGCATCAAACATGCGCACACACAGCTCACAATGACGTCACAAATCGCTCAGATCCCTTGTTGTAACACATCGCGAAGTGTCGAGTTTTGTCAAATGTTTCGTCATTTCCCGCTTATTTTGTGTCGCATGTTGCCCACTTACCTTGAACTGAATGTGGGTTTATTTAAGTAGCACCCGATGCGTTTATGAATTAGAAATAATATGCTCATCAAACTCAGTAACTCAGGACAATGAGCCGTATGAAAAAAATAAGCAATTGTTTTTTCTTAATACATCATACATTTTACTAGATTTATTCAAACAAAATTGAAGTACAACAAGGTATGAAATTTTTAAGAAAAAACAATTGCTTAGTTTTTATTCATACAGCCCAATGTATTAAAAAAAAAATGTGAAACTGAAATCCCCTCCCTTTACATTCCTTTGTACCAAAAATAACACAGTACCACTTTTCCAATTAAAGAAATATCCGTGTGAGTTTCTTTATAAAAACAATCGCATATATGTATGTATTTATTCGCTCAATATTACTTATAGTTTGGCGGCGTATCCGCAATAACTTTAACCTACACTTCAAAACTATTCCAACTAGTTTCCGATTGCTTTTGTATCTTAATAAATGCTATCAACTTATTATATTATTGAATATTTAAAAGTGTTTTGCCAAGTATTCGGTTTCTACATACATATGTACATATTTGAAAATTTTTATGTAGTGTTAACTGTATACAAAAAAGGTTAAAATCTACATTTAGAGATAACAAGTTGCTTAAAAACTTGGGTGGCGGCTTCGTACCTATTTGTGTATGCATATTCTATCCTACTCATACATATGTATGCCAAAAAGTTATGGTTTCTTACATATTCATACACATTTTATATACATCACATTGGTATATATTTACAAGATTTACTTGATAGTGTCAACATAATGAGCAAAATCGTTTGAGCAACAACCAATGGCACAAATTATAAACAAACATCATTAAAAAGATAAAAGAAATAAAATATATAAATTAAATTATGAAACTATACCACCTCACAGTTCGAAACAGTAAAACAATACATTCACTTCAAAATAGATTCCCTACAGGTAAAGGTTATTCGTTGGGTTTTGTAGAAGAAGGGAAACATGCAAAAAAATGTTTCCTCGGAAATTTCGAACTTTTTATAGGGTGCTGAGCCCCGTGCGAATAAAAACTCAGATATTTCAGTCTGCCCCCGGGTCAATTTTCGATAGTTTTTCCGACTCATAGTGGAATATATGATAAATTGGGACAGCCAGTTTGATGTACGCTTTTTTGAGCGAAAGATTTAAGGCCCAGGAAACGGACTGAGAGAGGTGTAAGCTAAGTATCGTGCGGAGAGTATCCACATGCCGGGCACTCATTGGGGATATTGGCGTCGAGGCTGGACACGTAGCTGCGAACTAAAAACACGTCTTTACACTTTGGCTACTCGTTATTTTTTTCGGCTTAGATCCTCATTCTTCGGAACTGATAACATCAGTACTGCAAGGCTATGTGGCTTTTGCACAAGCGGCAAGAATTTCTTGGCATGTTTTCTTTAATTTATTACTCAAATCACAAGACTTCACAAGTTCTCACTGAAAAGGGTTAACATGAAAGTCAAATCAAAGAAAATATTGGGATGAGAAATTGTCAAATAAGTGTACCGGAATAGAATGTCGTTGTTATCAATAAGGCTGCGGGTAATTATTACCTTGCTCGAACACACTTTCTATTAGCGTTCTATTGCTTTTGCAAAAGATACTACTTTATGGTAGTCGAATTTGTAAGAAATGCTTTTAAATTTAAGACTTGTCACAAACTGCGAAATAACACAAGCGACTTATGAATAAAAAAAAATTAACCAGTTAGGGAAAGCCACTTTTTAATAACAACTGAAAAGGCACAAGGCATGGAAAATACAAAAAGTGTAAAGAAATGTTAAACACAAAAAAAAAAAACAAATATGGTGTGTGCAGCGCTAGTGTGTTGCTGCGTTTCCTTTTGTTATAGTTTTTAATCTGCAAATTTTCTATTTTCAAAATAGTACAATATTAATGTGCATGTGTGCTCCGTGTGCTGGGGATAAACTATAAGTAATGCTATTTACAGATGTGTATATCACTTCCGTTTCACTTGCATCTTTTTGCAGTTACTTTTTGTAATAACTTTTTATGCGATAGTTATGAAAAAACTAGATTCGGTTTAACTTTACAATATTTGACAGTTATTTTCATTGGATATTTAAGCCTTGTTGGGGGGTTTGACCTGGTACGAAAAATTTGAAAAAATGAGAAGAAATTCAAAAAAGCTTTAATTAGTGACTTGAGGCGATTTATACGATTCAAAATTGAAGAATGAGTGTACTTTAGGCGAACAAATTGCTCAAAATCATGTTTAAAAAAGGCAACAAAAAATAGTGTTTAGTACATCAAAAAACACTACACTCAAGTGGTTTCAGCAATGCAACTAAAAAAATGGCATGGCAGAGTATCAAAAACAAATTCTTCAAAAGAACAAATATGCATTTACAACAACAATCAAAACAAAGTCTTCTTAAAATTTCTTTGGCATTTGGCCTCCCTATAAAGTGTATAAGGAACGGTCAAATTAATATAAGGATTAGATGAAATTTGTTGGAAAGTTGACACGTCGTGTATGAGAATGGGCTTTGAAAGCGAAAATCAAGAGCTGAATTTCAAAGGAAAATTGCTATTTCGGGCTTGTTCGAGGCGCGGCATCACTGCCGTAATGATGAAAAATGGCAACATTGTTGCAACTGCCCAACTGATAATACATTGCTAGAAATTCACACCGAACGTAATACTTTAATAATTCGCGCAACACTGCGGTTGTGATTGCAACCCGAACAAGCCCTACTTATCTGCGCTTAAAATATGTATGGAGCTGTAAGCGACAAACTTTATGTGCGCTTAAAAGGAAATTTTCGATGTTTGATTTTTTACACGTTAAGGGCAGATGTACACCAGTAAAAGAATTATATGTGTACTTTACATATAATTTTATTTTATAGATATTATCTTCAGTTTATTCAAACATAAAATAATATTTTAATGAAACGACTTCATATTTTATATTTATTTCAATCTACACCCCGCGACAAAAGATAGCACATCTACATTTTTACCAGTTTTGACTACTTTCCTTTTGATTTTCTAAGGTTCATTATTTTTGTATAAAAGTACATAAGCTCTTTATCTAACAAATACCATATAAACCTAAGTTTCAGACTTTTTACAAAAATTAAAAAAATTCCACAAACTTTTCATCGCAAATCCATGCATCATAATTTTAATTTCTAGAGTAATTTTTGGTATGCAGTTTAAAGTGCAAGTTTTAAGTTTCTAAATATTAACGTTGATTTTTGATATTTTTTTTTTGTTTTTTTGTTGCTGATCCACCCTTTTCCATATAAAAAATTACTTTGTATGGAAGAAAATGGTGAAAATGTGATCGGTAGGAATGTCCGAAAAATTTGCGAATATAGTGCGCAAACAATGTTTCTACTTCTGGATATCCATTTTTCCCAAGGTGAAAAGATTTTATTTGTTTTCCAAAGCTATACGCTTTTTACTTTAAATCAAAGATCCCTTTCACCAATGGCGGGCTTGGCATAGAAGCCGAATAACTCTCCAATAGTTATGGTGGGCATCTGGATCAACAATATTGAAATTATTTTCATCATTGGAAATAGCGTTTTTCAATTCTTCCTACAAAATTTTTAATGTTTTTAAATTGTTAAAAAAGCATTTTCGCGCCATAGAGTGGGCTGTGGTTTACCGATTTATTTTTTTCGTCTTAAGGGCCTTAACTGTGTTTCATCATTTATTGTGAACTTTTACTTGTGACAGAGAGATTCAAATACATATCAATTTTTACGTTAAATAATAAAACGGTTTTATTATGAAAATAGCTTCTATATGTTTAAGGTTTTACCACACAGTCATTGGTGTAGTTTTCTGTTGAAAATTGTTGACACTGGAGCTGGCGGAGCTGAATAATTCATTTTGCACAAATAATTATTTACTATTGAATATTATACTATTGTTTGTGATAACGGAAGCTAAAATTATATCAAGTTTACGTATAAAAATACTTATAAACTAAAGGTTATTATAAATGCATACAGCCAAAAGTTTTGCACTTCCTTCATAGCGCGAAAATGAGGAAAAACATATTACACATATAATTCTTTTACTGGGGTATATGCGTGTAGTGTAAAAAAACACGACTATTAAGTGTGTATGTGCATATACATATTATCAGGAAACGCATTTCGATTGCTTCAAGTGCATAATTCGCTTTGTTCGCCGTTCATTCAGTTCTCTCCTACTCGCAATTTTTTCACTTAATGTGTGTATGTACCAACAAAAATCACAAACAAGATGTTTATCACATAAGCATAAAAAATAAACGACAATACCACGCTGAATACATCGGTTTGCGTCCGATGTTAAATTTAAATATTCCCAATAAATGTTTTTTATATTCTCGAAAGAATGTTGCACTGGTTTTTCCCTTTATGGTTCTGTATTTTATTCCTGGCATGCAACAAATGCCGTTCAGGCAAAATGGAACAAGTAACTATAGCAACATTGTTTTGAGAAGTAAAACTTGAACTTAGTAAAATTTAATTGAAATAAAACAAATTAATTAAAAACAAAAATGTTACCTAAGCCTACCATAGTCATAACATAGAAGTTTTCTACTTACCAGTGCGTCATCATCCATGCGTTCCACTTTAATTTCGCTACCGTTAGCGTCAAACACAGTACTTGATATTGCCGATATGCCCACTGCATTCGTATTTGACGCGTTACTCGAGGTATTTACATTACTGGCAATACCAGCCGCACTACCGGTCACACCAGCACTAGGTGAGTTCGTAGAACCAACTGCATTTTGACCAACAATACTATTGGCCCCTGGATTGACCAAGCGATCAACGTATTTACTCCACGATTTCACCTTATTCACAGGTTTTTCGCTATCTTCTACTTCGGTATCGAGCAGCTCGATTGTTACTCGACAGTCAATTTTATACTAAAAGAAAATAAACAATAAATGTGTTAACGGCGAACCGGTAATGTACATGCAACATAAATACTTAAAAATTACTAAAGAAACTTACAATATACACTTTGAAGCAGTTTTCTTCATGGAGACTGGCCTCGGCCTTGCGTTGATACGCCAATTCTTTGGCGTAATTCTTATGCGCATCGCGACAATAACCACCTGCACCGCCGCGTCGCTGCTCATTATGGAACAATTCAACACACTCTAGTGCACCACGTTCAGTGACACAGTTTTGTAGTTGACGCACAGCATTCGAAACCACCTGCAAAAGCAAATATTCATTTATTATACACTCACATACGAATGCTTTGTTGACAAATATAATCGGATTAAGCTAAGCATTTATTTATTTGTTAAAATAATGAATACATACCTTGTCGAGCGTAAAGGATATGTATGCGTGTATACCGAACATTTCACGCATTGAATCCTCGAATGTATTCGAGTCCATATTGCCATCAAGTACATTCTTAAGCATGTCCAGGAATGTGGGGTAGTAATCCTCGACTTGTATTTCAGATTTCGGTTTCAGTCTTAATGCTGTCGCTGTGCTTTCGCGACGCTTTGAGCGATGGCGCTCCTCTTCGACGGCCAGTAATTGCGCTCGTTCATACATTGTTCGCAAGCGTTCACATAGAATGGTATGCAGGCGCAAGAATAAATACCAGTTGTTGTTGGCAAAGAAAAGAGTGTAGGATTCGTCCTGAAAAGGTGTTGCAAAAATTAACATTTTGCTAAAAATCAAAGGCTGCAAAGTATATATTTATGACAAGGCTAGACTATGGCCCTTAACATGAGTTGCATTCGATTTTCGATCTTCGCTGGTTATCGGTTCTAACGTCGTGAATACTAACCACGAGCTCGAAAGGTTGGTTTTACTTGTGAAAGAAAATCCCAATACTCAGTTGGCACGATCTCTGAGAACAAAATCGTAGAGCTGTATATAGTTTTAAAATATTTTAAATAGATTTGGGTCACAGACGCCTCTTTAGACAGTCTGAAGTTTTTAATAAATCTGTAGACAAATTTCTCTACAGTAAACATTTTCTACTCCTGCTAGTTTACTAAGCTCTCATCCTCTGACGAATCATTGAAGCAGAACTCGTACTCATTTTTACCACGTTTTTATAAACTCGCTTTCTTTTTTATTTCATTTTAATTTGCGCAAATTTACATAAGTTTGCTTGATTTGTAAACAACCTAAACGAGCGAAATTCACATTAGCGCTATTCTTCATCGAATGAGCGTCGTAATACCGAATGAAAATTCGTTCGATCAGCACTTTCGACCACAGTATATATATACTTGACTTGGAAAAAAAAGTGCGAAAACATTTAGATTTGAGAATATTTAGAAAACAATTGGAGTAATTGTAAGCCCTAAACCACCCCCGAGAACCATGAACTCGAAAAAGTTTTGGGCAAAACTTTGAAGTTTAAAAATTACTTACCAAATGCTTGCTTATGGCATGAGGTGGCAATTGTATATCCACGTCCATATCCTGCTTTTCTTCCTTAATTTCAACCTTTATGTCAGCAAGAGAATTACTTCCGCTGGGCTGAGCCAGAGTTGCAGCAGATGCGCTTGTTGATGTAACATTTGTGACCGCGGTTGTGGTATCAGCAGCAGTGCAATTGGTTTTTTCATTTGCCTCCTTCGTCGCGGAGCCTTTTAACGTCGTTGGTGCTGTAGCGTTAGTCGGCGTCCCAACTTGTGCAGTATCACATTTATGTGCAGCTGCACTGTTGTCTCCTGAACTTGTACTAATTCCAGTACAACTCGATTTGGTTTTATTCTCAGACGTTGTTACCGCAGTCGATGTCGATGTTAGTACTGTAGTTGTGGTGACTACTGCTGTGTTGGAGTTAGTTGCTGCCTCAGCTGGTGTTCTGCTGCCGCTGCCATTATTGGCATCCTCGGTAGCATTGCTATTGATTACTTGCCCCTTAGCAAGTGCAGGGTTTGAATCCTTCGAGGACGGGGCTTTTTCACCCACAGACAACGTTGTGGGCGGTAATTGAGCGGCATTATTACCGTCCCCACTGGTAGTCGAGGTGGTGCTATTACTGATGCTTATTGTTGCAGTTGGTTCACTACTTTTAAGATTTTCCAACAAATTGCCACTTGCTGACGTCATTGTTGATGAATTTTTATCATGGGGATCAGTACCATCGGCTTTAGAGCTGCCAGCACCGCTTGATGCATCGGTATTAGATGTGCTCCCACCACTTGCCGTCCTACCTCCCTTGCAGATACCACTACCGGCGGCATGCATTTCCCCCCTGCTACTTGTGGCGAGAGAATCAACATCCATCTTTTCGTTGTCATCTATTAAAAATGGGAATACTTTACAAATAAAAACGTGAAGCATGGCAAGGCGCGAAACGAGATAGTGAGGGGGAGTATATTATAGCAGAGTAGGAAGGGGTTTATTATTATTGCAGGCAGCGTGCAAATAATTAATTTACATGTGTGTTAATTGTGTTCGAATGGAAAAACAAGAGCATAGGGAGAAAACGCATATAAGGGAACAAGAAATGAAAGAATAGCAGATGGCACGAACGATTAAATTATACACATACGAGGTTAATGTGTTGTTATATGAAAAAGAAACACAAAAAAAAAATTGTTTTCTAAATTAAATATATATCACACAGGGGGGAATAAACTATTTAAATTTTTAATATTTTCTTAATTGAAGGGATGATGAAATAAATATTAAAGAAAAATAATAATGAATTTCAATTTAATGGTTGAATCAAGTTTATTTAAGGCAAACATAGTTATTTACATGCAACGAATAGTCTATACTTATATATATTATCTTGACCAAATGCACTCACCGTCATCTCGTTCATCGTCGCTTAATGGATGGCGTGACGAGAAAAATAGATCGGGAACAAATTGTCGTAAAATATGCTTGATTTTAGTCTTTTCCTGTTTTTGTATTCCCGTCTGACGCTTAACATGATGAATTAACAAATTCGCAGCATCATCAAGTATAGTTTTATCTTTATATGGCAGCATGAGATGTGGTCCAGTGACGGGTTCACCATTTTCGTCATCTTGATCATGGCGCTAAGCAAAAGCAAACATGTTCAGTATCGTTTAGCTTTGATAATAAATATATGCATATAAATAAAGAAGTCATACCAAAATTGGAATTAAAAAGTTTGCAATTTTGATGTAACATTGTTGAATTCTGCATATTTTTGAAAAAGTTTGAAAATTGGATTTATATGATTTTTGTTATATAATGAGCTATACCTTCATAAAAATAACTAATGAGCTTTAAACAAAGTAAAAGCTATCAAAAATGGCCAAAATGTCGCAGGTAGGTGTATATATGTACATGTATTAATTTCGGCTCTTACAAACAACAGTTATGCACAAGTGTTCTCTAGTATTCAATGTTTATTAGCAAATGAATTTAAATTAAAAAATACTAACCTCATCATATAACGTTTCGATTTCGTTGAATAAGTTTTTGGAGCGTAATGCCTTCATATCGTTCGGCTTGAAATTGATTGCTTGATGATCAAGTGACTTCAAGTAATACTTCTCATTTTGTTCACGCCACACCTTATTGAAGGCCTGGAAAAATAAAAAAAATTAAAAGATTAGAACTGTTAAAATATATTTATAGTTTGCGGTATATTCACAAGATTGAAACTAACCTTTTGGGCATCGCGCCATTCCTCCTCTTTGACTTTCAAACGCTTCAGTACGATTGGCACTGCTACGGAAGGATTTTTCTTTAGACCTTGTATTATTTCTCCCGCTTTGTCACCGTATATGCGATGTATAGCGCGTTGATGTATCGTCTGCGAAGTGCCACCCAAGTAATCGTCCAAATAAAATCGGCCCAAATCCTCTGGGGACATGCGTGACATTTTCTTCTGCACACCCTCGAGAACACGGATTGTCGCACTATTAGTTTCAATCACTACATCCAATTCGAAGCGTTCATCTTCCGTCCTGTGAATATTCCTTTCGGTTAGAATTTTTATTGTGTAAAAAGTTAATTAGAGTTTGTTGTGTTTAAAAGAACGAATATTGGGTATGGAAATGCGTTTTTTATTTTATCGTGTGAATATTGAGATTTTACACTCAATGTATGTATGTATGTGTTTAATATGAAGCTATGTACACAACGTCGCCTGGGTAAAAGATTGTCGTATGTTACGCACGAACGTATGACGCTTACGGCAATCTTTTACCCAGGCGACGACAAGTATTTAGTGAAACCCCACCTGTAAATTGTTTCCTCGAATTGCGTTTTGCGCGATGTCACAAATGTGGAATCCTCACTAGCCCAAGTTGGGAATGAAACCCACTTGTCATTTAGTACCTCACGGCAAAGCGCTGTTCGTCCAGAACATTTCTTCGGTATAATCGACTGTGGCAGCGCACAATAGGATGCACCAAGTCGTTTACATGATGATAAATCGATATCCTGTGCCAATTCACCACCCTGGTGATTACCTTGTCGATCGTTGAGTGCTGCAGAATTACCAAGACTATTACTTTGCCTATGCGCTGCCTGCATGGGTATTTCCTCCAAACCGAAAATCCCAGATCCCCCGCTCCCAGCACCACTCGCAGACAATTGGGTCACCGGTTGTCCCAGAAATTTAGTAAATCCGCTTAGTAAATCGGGGAATTTACTCAAGAATGGCGTTACCAAATTTAACAATTCAGTCTTCGACACAATCTCCTGATTGAAAAGAGTCAGACAACGCAAGAAATTGTCATATACTTCGGGATTACGCAATGCTTTGCGAACTTTATCGAAAAATGCAGCGTCGGAGATGGTACACTTGCGCGAAGCTTCCGAAAATGATACGTCCTTACAAATTGGTTTGTGCTTTTTAGGCGGTGGTGGGCCACTGCCAAGACCTCCACCACCGCTGCCGCTACCGCCATCATCTATTGCAGGACGGCGCGTTGCCGACAAATGATGATGTGTGCCACCCAGAACTTGCTGTGAATAGTTCATACCCAATCCAGAACGATCCATGGCACCACCACTCATAGCTGTATTGCCTCCGCCGCCCAACGAGACCATACCTGAATTGTAGCTTGGTGACTTCTTAGACGAGTGACTGGAAACGCCGCCAACATTTGTTCCAGGTGCATGCGGATATTTCAGACCACTAAGCGCATGGTGGTTGCTGCGATGCGTGTCTTTTTCATAGCTACGTATCCCTGTCGAAGCGTTCAAATCATGATGGACACCGCCGCTGCTTACAACACCATCATGTAACACCTTTAAATGAAGTGGGCCGCCACTAGGGTGTAGGGTTACTTGATGTGGATAATCTTTGTCGTAGACGAGATCTCCGCTACGACCGCTTACTGCACTCGTATTAATCACATGATTTTGCGACTGTTGCTGCGTATTGTTGTACGATTTAATGCTTACACTGGTATTTACCGCCGATAAATTGCCCAATACGGCAGCATGCGTACTACTACCAATCTGTGACAATGTAGCGCCGCTATTCAGATGTAACGGAGAGCCAGAGGCTGATGGCAAGGACATGTGATGACCACCACCGCTTCCACTATTTATTGTGCCACTACTGCCGCTACCCAGAGGGCCACCAACTGAGCCAACGTTTGCGCGTTTATGGTCGTTGTGCGATTTAGACATATATTGGGCGCCTTGGTGATTCGTAGCATCCGGAAGAAATTGGCCAAACTCCCGCAGTAAATCTTCGTCTTGACCAAATAATTTTGCTACTTGAGTGTAGACTTCTTGCTCGGTTAGCGTTTTTCCTTGATTGGGACTACCTTCCTTAATCACTTTCTGTTCTTTTTGATAAGTGTGTAGAATTTCGAGGAATTTTTTATATTTTTCTGGTTTATTCTGGAAGCGATTCTGAAAATAGCAACACAAGAATATAAAAAGGTGGTTTAATGCATAGTTCTAAAATTTATAATTTCTTTCGAATTTAACTTGTATTATATATGCTACTAAACTTACCTTAATTTTATTTACATACGATATGGCATGATTAAACTCGACTGGTTGATTTTGTTGACCAACTGTCTCACCCATGAGTATTGATTGATGCGCCTGCGAAATGTGGTGGAGATTGTGATGCGCATTCCCAACAGTACTCCCACCACCACTACCGCCGCTGCTGCTGTGAATTTGTGGATTCAATTCGCCGAGCGCATTTAGTGTGGGTGGACCGCCGGCTACGCTACTAGTGACCACGGCTTGTGCTATAGTGGCACGCTCTCGGTCTCGGGAAAAATTTTGTGGTAAATGTGCTGCCGTAACCGGTGCCACGGTCACGTTCTGCATTTGCGGTACAGTCGGTGGTGCCGGTGATACGGAAACATGTGCATGCTGAGCCATTGCTGGTCCACTTGGAGAGGGTTGAGAAGCTGACGACTGTAATGCATGTATTGTTGTTTGAGACAACGAAGCCCCACCATGTGTCATAAGATTGACAGCCCCCCCACCACTGCTGCTTGTATTGCCTTGTAATTGATGATGATCTAAGCTGCTAGAAGCGTTACTAGCATTACTCTGATTTGAAGCGCTGCCTCTGATTAAGGGAGTTTGAATGGTTGAGGAGCCGGTGCCAGTGATATTTTGCAGACCGCCATGTAGGCTTGTCGGTGAAGCTGATGGCATAGATACCACAGGAATAGAAACGCCCAACTCGTCCGAGTGTATTTCAATTTTATAACCCGCTGGTAGAAACATATTAAAGCCGTAAATTAATTCTGTATGACCTTTAAACAGGGTAGATACTCGCTGTATAACTCCGGGTGTATCAATACAATGTGATTTGAATTCTTTCATTATGTCCAAAAAATTATTGTAGATCTGTGGCTGATCAGCATATTGAAACTTCACTTGATCCAAATAACTCAGAGCGTCCTCAACCTTAAGACGTGGAGGTGCACCTGGCTGACCAGGTTGTGGAGGACCTTGTTGACTCGGTGTTGGTGGGGGTGGTGCTGCTTGCTGCACTGTCAAAGTTGGAGGCGCCGCCGTCAATGGGCCTCCACCGCCGCTAACAGAGATATTCTGAGAGGAGCTAATGGTGCGAGTTCGCAGAGAATTTTGCTGAGATCCAGAATTCGACATATTAGTCACAGCGCTTCCCGACACGTGAATTTGCACGGGTCCATCTGATGTAGTTTTCAAATTACCACCGCCACTGGAAGATACGGAGGACACATTGTAGGCTGAAAGGAAAGAAAACAGTTTTAACTAGATATTCGATTCGAAAACTAAATAGACAGGTTTGTTTTAGCTCGCAGCATATTTTGTTCTGGTTTGTTTAAGACAAGACAAGAGAAGTACCTCGGGTCACTAAACCTGCAGCCGAATCGCATGCACTCGATATGAATTAACAATCTACTGGATATCATAAGCGAGCTAGGACTGGGCGAGGTGCTCATAAAAAAAAAAAAATTGATCATGTGTTATATGGAAGAAAATGCGCAACACCCTCCACAAAAAAAAAATCAAAAAAATCAACGGTAGTTTTTAACGACTTGAGACTTGAGACTTCAATTGAATGGACTACAGAACTGCATACCCGAAAATATTCTAAATATTCCGATTAAAAAATTGGAGATTTTGATGACGATTTTTTGAAGTTTGATTATTTTTTTTTTGCAATTTTTGTAAGCTTTGAAACTTTTATTATTGTGGTTTCTGTTACAAATTGAACGATTTTTTATTTTCATAAATAAATAAAAATAAAAAAAAAATCCTAATTTGCAAACAATATCATTTTGAATTTCGTTTCTAATTAGTTGAACGCAGTTGTACGTCTTTAGCATAGTTGTACGGCTAATTTTTAATTAATAAATTAAACAAAAACTGAAAAAAATTCAAAAAACGGTAATAATCCACCCACGCTTCTATAAATGGATTAAAAAGTGGAAAATAAGTTTTCGTACTCCCATAGAATTTGTTTCGATAACTTTTGATTTTAAATTTTTTTGCAAAACTCATTATAAACAATTCATGAGATTGAAAATGTAATGTAATAGACTTAAATTGATATGAAAAGTATCGTGGAAGAAATAATAGACTTTTTACTTTGACCAGCTTTGGCTATATTTATTTTCTTATTCGATGTTTAATATTTTTTATTTATAAAAGTCTGGCGCATTATATAAGAAGCACCATATAAATCCACTTTTTAAGCTTTGTACAAAAATTCAGTATATTTTATCAAAATCCTCCAAAAATCTCAAACTTTTTGTTCAGAATTTTCAGAAAAATTTTGGGTGTGCAGTTTTATAGCCCATTAAATTTTAGTAGATTAAAATGCAAATATGAAGACGCTAGAAATATAATATCGCTTTGATTTTTAATATATTTTTTTGCTGACTCTGCTAGGCAAACTTTATATGAAAGGAAATGGACAACCCCGTCAGCCAAAAAAAAAATATTGGAAATCAAAGCGATTTTCTGGCGTCTAAATTTTAATGGGCTATAGAACAGCGAACCTAAAACTCTGAATTCTGAATGAAATGTTTTGATTTTTTGGAGGAATTTTAATAACTTTTGTACAAAGTTTGACATGTGGATTTATATGGTGCTTTTTATATAATGCGCTAGACTTTTACAAAAAAAAAATATGAAACATACATATGAAAATATAGAAACGTGGTACATTAAAAGGTTTTTTTTTATTTATCTTTTTCTACTTTTTAGTCTTGCCTGTATAAAAATTTGCAATGGATATTAAAATAATGCAACGATATTCTGCTATTGTATTTTATGAAACTGACCTTTTATTTATTTTATTGAACCTTATGAATAGAAACTAAGCAATTTCTTTTGCTTTAAATTTCAGACCTTTTACTCGATATATCCAAATAAATTTAAAGAAAAAGCAATTCTTAGGCCCACTTGCAGAGCAGCAATTTATACATATATATGTATGTGTCACGTAAAGTTAGAAGGGGCCTACGGTCAGTAAATGTCGGTTTTCACTTCTTCATTGACTCTTATAGTAAACGGGCCACTCTTTCCAATTTTCCAATGCAATAAACCGCCGCTTTCTAGCTGCATTAGTTTTTTCACAATTTCACTTCAAAGTTAGGTACTTTCACAAAAAAAGTACAAAAAAATCAAATCTGACAAAACTATTCTGAAATTAATCAAATTCGCTTCAAACTCGTTACTCGGAGGGTTTTCGAACATCGGATTCGTAATCACTGACCTCGTTTTCGGTGTCAACGACATTTTTGAGTTTCACATGAACCCGAAAAAATTTTTAATTTTTTCCGCCATTTTGAATTTTTAATCAGCGACACCAAAAACCCCCGGCTAACGAGTTTCAAGCGATTCCGATCAATTTTTAAAAAAGTCATCTGCCATATTGGATCCGCCATTTTGAATTTTGGAAAACCAACATCGAATTCGAGTTTCAATCCATTAAAACGTTCATAAGCATCAAAATCAACTTGGTAAACTTCAAAGTCGTTTTTCTCGAAATCTTTTTTTCTGAGCGTAGGTCCCTTTCAAATTTACGTGTCACATATATATATATATATAAGTCGAAGTTTACTGTTTAAATTGGTAAAGCCCACTTGCAGAACCTCAGGTTATCTACATACATAACTCGAAGTTGACCGGTTAAATTGATAAATTGGCTTGCACAATCAATTAGAGTCACATGGTTAAATATTTAGCCCACCAATTTTCGAAGGTTGACTTGCTAACCTGACATGTCAATTCTGTCGGTGAAAAGAATACAAAATTTAAAAAATATTTTTGAATATGCACATATCCCGTTTTGCGCCTTCAGCTCTCGGAAGTTTCGCTGGCGAATTTGCAATTTGAACCTATTTGATATTTTATATTCAAATTCAAATAAAAAATGTAAGCAAAAGTCAAAAAAGAGAATTTTTAATTGCAATACAATGCAATACACTGTCTGGTATAGGAGTATAAAAAGTTAACTCTTGAGATACTTAACTCTCTATTTATATATTTAACTCTGAATTTTCTGCAAGTGGGACTTACGTTTTTTTGATAAGGCCCATTGTCTCTTTCAACCAGTATGTATGTATGTATACATATGAGCAGCAAGATATTTCATTTAAAGAAATCCATCCACCCATATGAACATTTAAGGTCAAATGGCACTATGGTGGGCAGTGTTGTGTCGTGCAGTTCCGCTCCAGCGTAGTGCATATTTTTAGGCGCAGTAATAATGCGAATATTAAACATTTAAATACTGCCGACGAGGTAGGTGTCTATACCAGTTTTGCATATTCTACATACTGTTACTTACAAAATTGAGCGTACGGCTTTTTTGGTTAATATTCGCAATGTTTTAGATGCTAAAGTTTTTCTGTTAAGTCTGTATTAAAATATCAATTATATTTTAGCAAACCCCATTTAAATTCAAGAGTGAAACTGTGTACGAAAATTAAGAAAAACCTGCAAAGTTTCAGCAAAATCGAAAACTTTTTATTACGAATTTCATAGAAAAATCAGGTATGCAGTTTTATAGCCCATTAAATTTTAGTATAATAATGTGCAAGTTTCAAATCAGTAAAAATTCGCGCTGATTTTTGAGAATTTTTTTACTACGCATTTTTTCCATATAAAGTATTTAAATTTTTTTTTTTATACTTATCACTTTTGTTAGTAACAGTATGTAGTATGAATTTTATGTTCTTTGTTATAATTCTATTTTCTATAATATCTTAACAAACAAGAATCTATAATAATATAAACGTAGTACTAATAAAAAATGATGAAGCTTACGAACTTTGTAAAATTGTAATTCGATTCGATGAAAAGTACGCAGCATTTAAAAAACTAACAACAGTTCCTACACTAAGGCAAAATTTATGGCCCGTAATCATAAAGAAGTAACATTTGAAACTATTAATATTTAAAAAAGTAAAAATAAAATAATAAAAAAATAAAAAGTTGTGTCTCTAAAACGACGTTCTAAGTTAAAAAAAAGGCTGAAAGAATAAAATAATGTCTAAATTGATGTTTTGTTCTCCAAAATTCAAAAATTTAAAAATGTAATCTGAAATAATATTTCGAGATTCTGTAATTTTGGTTAATGTTTTCCGAACAGAAAATTAAAAACATGCATCGAGCATGACGAGCTTTTCGCGATATAACTTAGGAATCTATTTATTTCCTATAAATAAAAATTATTAACGAGTGTACGTGCAAGGATAATTAGGCCCAAATTAGACAAAGAATAGAAACACAGTAGTAAGCGGTTTTATTTTTTGATTTTGATTTGTGTCGTTATTGCAGAGGACCACCGAACTGTACAAATCGTGTCATCGCTGCTTTACCCAGCAAACACAGCGAGAAATATTTGATTTTACATTAGAATTCTCGAATCGAAAATTTGCTTAGAGAACTATGTTAAAATTCGATTAGAGAATGATTAGTAAAATACCAGATACAAGAATTCAACGCTAGATAATGATTTGATATCTAATCTAAACTCTTTCTCGATACTGAGAAGTAACTCCGCTTTTTGTAGAGAATGCTACAATTCCCGACAGTTTCTCTAATCGTCTTCTAATTTTCGACCTTAGATAGATTAGATCGATAATAAAATGAGGTTTGCACCGCGACCTAGAAGAGGTCTACCTCCTCTAACCCTAAGTCCCTGAGAAAGTTCAACAGTACCTTTGGGGATAGGGAGTGAATGTGCTTAAGCTGTGGCCACATTGGTCCTTAACATCTCTCACGTCTCCTGCAGACTGAATCACATTCGGTGAGAATGTGTAGAGATGTCTCGCTTCTACCTTAGTGAATCGCATTAGAATTCGAATCGTTTTCTTATCGCTCTCTAACCTAAATGTCTGCTGGGTAATCCAATGAATGACGCCGTTCAGTGTCATTCTAGCAAAAACTCCTGTAGCATATCTCCGATTGACTAATATTTAAAATCTGCTTTAAATTTAAAACTTTCGAGGTAATTTAATTGACGTTGCAACTTACAACAATGACAACGTGCCTATAATTATACGTTAATCTTAGTGTTTAGACTACTTACAAGTTGAATACTGCACAGCCTGTGTGGGAACGGTTCCTGCATTGCCCGTGCCCGCAACTCCACCGCCAGAGGTAACAACTGTTCCTCCAGTTAACTGCACTGTACTGCCGCCGCTGTTGCCACCACTACCGTGACTTGTTGCACCGCTGCTACTACTATCCACTAGTCCGCCAGTATTTTTCAAATTGGCCGATGCTGGTGTTGTCGATGGCAAGTAAGCAATCGTTTGGGCACCGCCATGTTGCGGTGTTAAAAGTCGGTGATGGGGCATGGACCCGCCAGCGATACCTCCAGATAGTCCAACACTTAAATTGGCACTACCGTGGCTACCAGGGACAACATTTCCAAGATTCACAGTGTTGCCAGGGTTGGACGTGCCCACAATACCACCGCCAGTGACTCCACCACCACCTCCACCGCCACTGCCGCCCACTCCACCAGGGCCAGGTCGCGTGCCATATTGGACTTCATCCACACGCGTACGTTTCATCATTTTGGTTGCAATTTCTGCAGTTAAATGTCGTCGTTCTCAATACGTACTGTATGCAGTAGTTTGATGACGTTTAACGAATTTAATATATATATATATATATAAATATATATATATATGTATTTATATATTAAGGGAAAGCCAGCGACACCGTTTTATTGTACGCTTTCCGAATGTATGTGGTATTTTCTGATACTTCGCTTAACTATCAAAAGGTTGAAAGTTAACTTCCCTTTCTTGAATTCTCGACTCCTTTTTTTGAAATGTATATATTAGTGGATTATTTTGTTGATATTTATCTTTATGGAATTTCTGCGGCTTTTGTTGTTCAGAAAAGTAACTGCTGCTGCGTTGTTTTCTCATTGCGCTGAGCGCGAACGTCGGTTCACAGAAAACAAATTGGAAATTGGAGTTTGGTAACTTTTTCTACAACCTTTGCTTCTGAATTCTGGTTCCGCAAACAATGTTGATTGTAGCAATTGTGTTTTATATTTGGATATGAAAAAAGAGAAACACAATTTGATTAATGAAATATTTTGATAAAAATATGCATAGAGATGGTTTGAAAAACCACATTTCTATAACAAATTATAGTTTTAAAATTATTTTATACGGCTATAACAAAACTTATTGTAACCAGAGTTGGGCATTATTCGAAAAATGTTTTTTTAGATAATTATTCGAATTGCTCAAAAAATCTTAACGAAAGCTTTAAGTTTCTGTAACGATTTCTTTACGAATTTTCAAAGAATATCGGAGGAAAAGCTGGACACGAACTCGGAACTAAATATGTATGTTCTTCACAGCGGAGCATTATTATCATTACTTTACTGATTTTCTTCCGAAATTCCGGGCGTTCACAACTGTCTGGTTATAGAAAATCTGGTTATGTGGTTATTTTTTTTACTCAGCTTACAACAATAAAGTACCCTATAGAATCACATTTTTTAACCAGATAACCACGCAAATGTGAATGTCCGCAATGATTTATTTTTAAATTTTTGAAGATTTCTCTAATATTCGGATTACTATGACAGTATGTTTTGAAAGTATGATTGAAACTTTTTTATATGGAGGAAAATGCGTAGAACCGCCAGGAAAAATTATTAAAAACGCTATTTCTCAGCCACATTATACATACTAAAATTTAATGTTCTATAAAATTCTTTTTGAAATTAAAAAAAAAAAATCTGATTAAAAAGTTTACAATTTTGATGAAAATTTGTTGAATTTTCCTTAATTTTGTATAAAGCTTGAAACTTTGGTTTATACGATTTTGTTTTAAGCAGGATCCATAATTATAAAAAAAAAATATAATCATAATCAAATTTTAGCTTGCAAAATATAATGCACATTTAAAAAATAAATGGTGTAAGCAGTCGTTTGCTGTGCAGTGTACGTATATATGTACATATAAACCGTTTATTTTGAAAGTGGCATAAGTCACCTCGTACCTCTTGTACCTTAAATGACCGACTACTTGTAACCGAATGCATCTGCAAATCGTTCTATCGTCGTAAACTAATGGGAAAACCGTCTACCATTGGTTAATGAAGTTGAACGAATAACCGACGAAAATTTTCAAAATTTTTGAGGGTCAAATTTTTCAAAATTTTGAGGTCAGGCCTCTGCACATACATGGCAGTATCCACAAACTTCATATGTGGGTACTCTCAAATTCTCTGCACACTTTTTTTAGATGTAAATAGAAACATTTTTACTTCGTATGTACGTGCATCTACTTTGTACAGAAACAAACCTAATTTGCCTTTACACGATATATTGGCAATTTCATATGTAAAAAGTGGCATGTACACATGCAAATACATACCGCGTAAGAACACCTTTAACGCGTACATACATACTATGTATAGTGACACAAACAATTGACCACGTGTTGATTTTCTTCAAATATTCGTATTGTTTTTCGAGCTACATTTTTTTGTTATTTCTATATATAAATATCATCTAAGCTTTAACCAAAACCGTGTTTCAAACTTTATACAAACTCAAGGAAAATTCAACAAATTTTCATCAAAGTTTCAACTTTTTATTCTGAATTTTTAGAAAATTTTTGGGTATGTAGTTTTATAGCACGTACAATTTTAGTCTAATGAAGTGCAAGTTTCAAGCGGCTAAAAAAATCGCGTTGATTTTTGTGATTTTTTTTTTTTGTGACGGTTTTTGGCACTTTTGTAATATATGTAAGTATGAATTTCTTATAAAATAAAGCGCGGGAGACCGTCAGAAACAAAATTTCAAAATATGAACGCAAGTTTTTGTAAATTGCGCAGAATAAAAAGTTTTAATTTTGATGAAAATTTGTTGAATTTTCCCAAATTTTGTATAAAGATTAAAATTGTGATTAAAACTATGTTCACATATCAATATTACCTCAATCAAAGCTCGTTTTTTAATCGCCCCGTTCACACAGGCAAATCTCAGATTATTAGCCGTCAAATTTGTTGTGCTTGTTATTCTCACATCTCAAGGAAAAGTTTTTTTTTTTCTCTGTGCCACCGTGATCACGTTTTTCTGCTATATTGAGCAATATAGATATATTTTAACTTAACATTTTATTAAAAAAATACCTTGAGAACCCTCTTTTCCTTGCCAGCGTCCATTTTTGTTTACTTTTACATTTGCTATTTCTCCTCTTCTTCGCAAAAACAATCGATAAAACTAGGATGGACACCGAAAAGTTATCGGTTAAATCTGAGATTATTTTATAATTACAGATTAACAAGGGAGGAATTTTATATGGCTAATCTCTTTTTCTAATTACAGATTAGGAAGTTAAGCTCGAAAATGAAGATAATCTACTTATATGTGAACCTAGTATTACACGGCTTTGATTAAAGCTTAGTCGATATTTTTATAGAAAATAACAAAAAAAAAATTGCTGGAAAAATATTACGAACATTAAAAAAACACGTGGCCATTTGTTTGAGTCACTGTATATATTCAGCCCCATTCCCCACACAAACTTCACCTCAAAAAATAGTGTATCCAACGTCATCAGTCTGACCTGCTCAAATGCGTGCACTTGCTTGCTGGCTTGCTTTGTTGAAGCGAGTAAAATTAACAAAAAAAAATACCAAACAAACTGTTACTTACAATCATGTGTTGACAATATATGTACCTCTGTATGAACATGCATACATATATTACATTATTGAAGGCGTATGTAATATTTTAAATAATTTTCCACTAAAAGATTTGTTTTCAAAACCAAGTAATGTTTAGTTCGCGCAAAGATGAAGTACAAAATATTTGAAAGGAAAAATGCTGGCTGTGTGAATTTGTGCACACAAATGGAGATACCTCATTAATTTCATAAACAGTGGTGAAAAAAATAATAGAAATAAAAAATGTTGAAAGTTTTAGATATTTATTTTTTTGTTTGTTTATTTAATGTTTCATTAAGGTGGTTCACACTTGCGTGCTTATCAAGTTATCTGGTTATGTGATACTCTGCATATACAAACAGTTTGAATACCGCAGTATAACAATATCCGAACATTGTATTGATACGTTTTGGAAGTCAGCCAATTTTCTAATTTTTCAACTTTATAATCAGAGCTTTCAGAAAAATTCTGGGTATGCAGTTTTGTAGACCATTCAGTGGCACAGAAGAGAAAAGACTGGCGTGCTTTGTTGAAGTCGACCAAAATCATTTAGGCAGCGCCAAATAAGAAGTTTCAAGTGGCTGAAATATACAACCGATTTTTTGAGAATTTTTCCCCTTCGAGTTTCGAGTATTTTCTTTCTCACATATAGAACTGGATTTCGTTCATGCGTTGTATGGAAGAAAAGGCGCAATACTTTCGGCGAAATACAAAAATCTATAGAAATCATAGTTGTCGAATTTTTTCCCCCCATTTTTTGTCTGCTTCCCAGCTAATAGAAAAGTAGCTTTTTTGCATCGTTCAGCGCGCTTGGGGCCTTTGACGTGAAATGCCCCATTTTTCTATATCTAACTCGATTTCTTTAGGCTTGTGCACAAGTGCGCTAGGGTATAAAAATATTGATCGTATGGACAGTGCCAATACCAGTCTACACTAAGCAAGCCAATTGCATACAACTAACACCACTAAATTTAACTCGCCTTGAAAGTGTGCTTTGGGGGATGTTACATGAGCTTTTGTTCTTATTTCTCGTCTCGTCTATCCCTCAAGAACCCAACTTTGTGTAGACCACCGGGAGTTTAGAATTTGTCAACAAATGATTACCCTCGGTGGTTTGGACAGCACTTTAAGGTAAAATTAAATTGCTGGTGTATTTCGTAAGTACAAACATACAGTGTTGTGCAAACAGCACAAATTTAGTTAGATTTATATTATTGTTGTATTTCCTTCAAATAAAATTTGTCTGTGCGAAAAAAATGCGTATACAGTCAGAAAAAAAATATCAAAAATCAAAGACAACTTAAAACTGACACTGACACCTGCGTATGAGACGGTAACAAAATTTACCGGTAACAAAGTTTTTGTTACCAACGCAGAATAGGCCTGTAAAAAGTTGAAAATTTAGATTGAAAGTTTGCAGAATTGTTAAAATTTTTTCAAAGTTGTTATTGCAATTATTTTAACATTTTTTAATACTAACGATTTGTTGTGGGTATTTTTGGGGGATTTATGTATAAAAAATGGTTAACATTAAAAAAATAATTGAATAAGCAATTGTGTATTGTTATTGGAAGTCTGCTAAAGAGAAACAGCTTTCTAATCGAAAATTATTAATCTTCAAGAATTCTATACCATTTTGTACGAGAATTTTTTTCCCCATTTAAAATATAAAAAAACTTCATGGGCTTTGAGGCAGTCTAAATGTATTTTTTTTTTGCATTTTTTTTTGCAATTTTTGCAAGCTTTGAAACTTCTATTATTATGGTTTCTGTTACAGATTTAACTAAATGAAAATTATTAAAAAAAAAAAAAAAACATAATTTGTAAATATCATTTTGAATTTCGCTTCTAATTAGTTGAACGCAGATGTACATACAGTTGTGGTCAATAAGATAGCAGCAAACTTTGCAACTTATGTTTATTTATTTTAAATACTTTTCATTAAAAATATAGTGCGATCTACGTATGTATGAAGAACGGAAACCGCATGAAGGTTGCACAAAGTTTACAGAAATAACGAGTAATTTTTAGCAAAAAAAAAAACCGACTTCAACTTATCGAAATCGGTTGACGTGGTCCAAAGTTATGCGGTAACATACATAAAAAAAAACAAACAAAAAAAATATATAAAAAAATATATATTCCGACGAACTGATAACCTCCTCCTTTTTTGGAAGTCGGTTAAAAATAAAAATCAACCATTTCACACTTCATTCAATTTTTTTTAAATTTTCGAGTATGCCGTTTAGTTAAGCCATTATATTCAGATTGAATTATATTTTCAATGAAAATTAATAAAAACAAGTAATTTTTAGCAAAAAAAAAAACCGACTTCAACTCCCATATAAAAAAAATATATATATATATCTCGTGATCCACTGATCGGATCTCAACCAGATTAGTATGGGACCACCTCTGAGACACTACCTTTCCGATGCAAAAAGAATTATCGAAAAAAAAAAGATTCCGACGAACTGATAACCTCCTCCTTTTTTGGAAGTCGGTTAAAAAAAGCATAATTTGCAAACAATATCATTTTGAATTTCGTTTCTAATTAGTTGAACGCGGGTGACGTATTTTTATACCTGCATACATATATATATAGAGTATTCTATGTATGTATTTTGTATTTAAATGAAGAGCGAGTTGCCACTGACAAAAAAAATACTTACCATCCACATGAAAAAAAAAATCCTGAAAATATCTACCAATAACTTTTTCTGGATATTTTTATAAAAACTAAAGTTTTGTTCTAATATTTTACTTATATTAATAAAAAATTTAATTTTTTTTTAAGGAACTTTTTATTTAACTAATGATATGGTATTTGAGATGATATTAACGGCATCTTCTCGGTTTTCTTCAACCAAAAGCGAAAGTGATGAAACTAAAAGCAGCATCATTGTCGTCGTCGTCGTCGTCTTGAAAAAACTTTAACTGGAGTTATTATAAACAAATACAGTGACTCAAAAGCAGCTTGGAATTTTTTTAATATTCACAATGTTTTCAAGTAAAAATTTGTTTGGATTTTTTTGGACAATAATAGTGTTTGCGCTTCAACCAAACCCATAAAAATCAAGGATTGAAGCTATTTACAACATTTAGAAAAATTCAAAAAAACTTCGTCTAACTATCGAACTTTTTACTACGAATTTTTGAGTATGCAGGATTAGAGCCAATTTACACGACTTTTCACCCTGCGTTTTTGGCACGTTCCGTTTTAAAAGTCTTCGAAAATCTTCGTGCATTTACACGATGACTTTTTCTTTGCGCAGTTTCTTGGGTATTTTTGACATTTAAGCTTAGTATCCAGCTCTTAATAATAATAATTAATTAACAATAATAATAAATAATTAATAATAATAATAATAATAATAATAATAATAATAATAATAATAATTAATAATGAAACGAGCAACACCAAAAGGGAATGTGAAAAATCGCGTCGACAAAAGTTTCCGTGTATAAACGCAGTCTAAGAAAACGGTCAAGAAAAAATTGCCTTTATTTCACGTGTGTGTCCAAGGAATTTTGACATTTTTGATAACGCACAGCCTGTTGCCTCACTCTTTCCTCAAGAAATAATGGAACGGGCATATATTTCTGTTGCAAACCTGGGTTGCCTTGCGCTCTTTTTTCACAAAAAACTTTAGAAAACCGTAGTAGAAAGCGTACTAAATTTCTGAAGAACTGCGTACTGCCTTAAGGAAATTTGACTCAAGAAAATTTCTTTGCCATTTCTTGTACGTCATTTTATATGGAGTTTTTGCTTTTCTTAAGAGCTGGATACTAAGCTTTAAGCGTAAAATCTTCTTTGGTCAACTCTTTCGTCCTCATTTTTAAAGGGGAGCGAATCGCTACAATTCTTGCCTTATAGTTCATGCAATTTTAGTATAACCAACAATATGCAGCTAAAAATTCCCGTTGATTAAGAGAATTTTTTTGCTCCCTGTTTTCTGGGGTGATTTTTTACTATTTATTTTTTAAAAATCATAGGGTGTAATTCATGCCATTGAATCATTTAAAATATTAGGCAATAAAAAGCTGCTCATAATTCTTGTAAAATGTGTTTTGAATGGAGCACGATATTTTCGCCTTTTACATATGTACGTATGTATACATTTATGTACTTATATAAAAAGTTTGATTAAAGCGTTCGAAAATTAATGCAATGAAGTAGACTACACATTTGGAAAGAAGTTTATAATATAAAGTTAACTACGAAAAATAAAGTGGGAACTAAACTTTATTTGTTTTTCATACTAAATATTTTACCAAAAATCTACCAAAATGAGAAAAAATTTACCTTTTTACCAACCCCAACTTTTTGTACCAATTTTGGTAATAATTTACCAAAGTGGCAACCCTGTTTACATATGCATATAATTTTATTACATCAGTGACGAAACTTGTTTTTTATTCAATAGGAGGCGGGTTAGACGTTTTGTCCAAGTGAAAAAGGTGAGCAGTATAAATAAATAGATCTAGTTAAGCATTCAAAACTAGCTCATCCATATTATTTTTCAAAATTATATTTTTAATCGATTTAACAGTGTCTGAGTATCCGAATTTTTTATTATTGTAAACTGTACTAGCAGAGATAAGAAAAATACAAACACTTCGTCGTTTTGCTGATATGTGTACTCGTTGAATATACCCAAGAGAAAGCGACGACCCGAGCCATACCAATCCAACACACACGGCTGTTAAAGTGAAACGCCACTAAATGAGCGCCACTAGTTTTGACATCATCATACGAATGGGTGTAAATGAGAAACAAAATGACACAATCCTTGAAAATGGGTTTACTTGTGTGCGAGTAGTTTGAATATGTTGTTTTTGTTATTGTTTTGAATGGGTCAGCAGTGACGACGCTGACTGGCAACGACAACCAAAAGCTACAGAGTGGAATATTCGAATGCGATTTTCAAGACTTGCCTTGTTGGAGAAGAGAGGAACTTGGCGGTGAATGGGGTGGTGAAGCTGCATAGGAATACACGGTATGCGCCCGCAAGCACTCCGCGTCATTGTACTACACAGCAGGCAAAGCAAACTAAATACGCTTGACTTCCAAACAAGAGCTCCACAAAGCAGTGCCTTTACAATCTGAAAATGGCACCGAGTCTCACTGAGGAGGGGTAGGGTGGGCATGCGTAGGGTTTCCCTCCATTTTTTTTGCGGGTATCTTATCTTCATTTGACATATTGTGTTTGCATTCGGTGCTGCATATTATTAATAATATACACATGTGTGTATAATAAAATATAAGGTAGAAATTTCATTATATTGCAAAGGCCCTTAAAAATTACACTTCATATAATTAGATTCATGCCAATATATGTACATAAGTAGTTGCACAGCAATTTTAAATAGTTCTGTCGACCATTTTAATCCGTCCACCCAATACGGCTCTTAGAATAAATTTGCAAACTTACTAAAAACTGAAAACAAAAGCAACGGCTTAAAATAAATAAAACTACATTTTCAAGTCGTTCTCGGTATACGTTGTCCGTATTTTCATTTTTTTTTAGCAAAGGCGTACAACAGCCGAACAGCCGAGTGCTCACGAACATCTGCAGCGATTTGCTGTTGTTTTCACTTGCCGTTTTCAACTTAAAAAACGTTTTTCGTAAAACTATCAAAATTTCTATTTCTCCAAAATTACTACACCTTTTCGGCATCATTTTAGGTATTAATTGCTGAAATAACATTTCACTTTTCCCACATAATGCTTTAAATGTGGCAACAATCCTATCTGTCGTTTTTATATACACATGTAGATATATATATGTATATACATATCTACATTCATACATATGTACATATTTATGTATCGTATAAAAGTCAGCCCCAGCAGAGCGGCTCGCCGTAGACTTTTATCGTCGTTGCCAGTCATACGCAATTGTCAGAAAAGAAAATGTTCGTGCACATATATGCACTCACTGTATATACATATACGAATATGTATACATAAGTATGCATGTGTTTGGACTTTTACATATATCATGCGAGTGTGTGTTTTATATTCACGAGCGCGAGTATACGTATGTATGTGTTCAATTGACAGAGGAGGTGATGCAGAGGAACAAAACGACGTATATAAACCAATTGAATTGACCTAACCTAAAAATGTATGTATTTTTTCTTTCAAGTTCTGCACCTCAAAATATGGGAAAAATATGGCTTAGTTTTACATATTTTCAAAGGAAATTGATTTTCAACTCATTAAGATGCACTAAAACATTTATAACCCAGATAAAAACCACCAACATAAGGAAAATTCCACTTACATCAGCACCGTCAGCAAATGCGAAAAAAACCAATTTTAAATTGGCCTTTGTTTTCTATCTCAGCTCAGCTATGGAATACAGATTTTTTCCAACAAAGTTCACTTTCTTCGTAGTTTTTAGTATATTCTTTAGATTTCTGTGCAAATTAGCTGTGCCCGCTTACCGCGCCACAATTTGGCTCGATAACTTTATTTAATGTTTCACTTTACACCAAATACATACATAAATCACTTTTATATTTACCCATTCATTAACGATTTCAATTGGCTTTATCTCAACTTTTCCTTAGTCTTCTTTAATTTTCAAAAATTTTTCACTATTGAATTCCTTTTTTAATAATTTTTTTCTCAAGGAATTTCTACAGATATTCACAAAAATTTGGCGAGAAAACGTTTTCCTACATCTTACCGCCGCCGCAAACATTTTCGATTAAAAACCACGACAAATGCAAAGTGTTCAAAAGACTGGCAGCGAAGCAAGACGAAGTTCGTCGACTGCAAACGA